CAGATGCTTTTTTTAAGTGTTTTCTATGCAAAGCTAACTAGTATATTATTTCTATGGATACAGCACAGTTCTGCACATACGGGTCTGCACCACTGATCTCTACTATACTATATATAATATATATTATAATATTATTATGTTATAATGTATATTATATTTTTATTCTATTTATTTCGATGATAATATTGTCGCATTGCGTTGTCTAGTCGTGAATCACATGCCAGCTAGACTAGGTGGATTACTTGGCACATTAGAAAAATCCGCATACATATCGGAGACTGATTAAGGGTTGGAGATTCAAAAACAATGAACTGGAGACAAGACATCTCACAATTGCCACTATCGTGCAACGAAATCTTGATCGTTACGTGAACGAGTGACGTCACGTAAATGGCCATCGTAATACGAAGCATTTTGATGTTAAAAACACATTATTATATATAATCCGATTGTATAATATAGCAATTTGCATTCCGTCCTATGTTTATTAGTCGGTATGCTGAGTGAACACAAGTATATATGCGCGCATTTTGAGCCAATCCCGCATTTTGGCATTCGTAACGCATTGCGCAATTTTTTGACTAGGAAGCACACTGCTTAAGTATGGAAATAATTAATTTAGGATTCACATCGATTGCGGTACAATAACTAAAGTTTCCAAATAGGGGGGCCTAACCTTTTATACATACTGCGATAATACGGTGCTCACCTGGCACGATTTCTATTTTTATGAGAAAGTAAAAACCCGCTCTTTTCTGGAGTAATCATTAGCATTATCAAAGACCGTACGCAACAACATAAGACACGCGTACTGTTTTGTTCACTCGTCACACGGTCACACCACAATAATTTCCCATTTGCACTTGTCGCTGCCGGCGTAATAATACCGGTATAAGCACCGGTGGTTGTTACGCCCACCGTCGCGCTGGGCTCGCCACGTTATATTTGTCCCATATGCGACACTAGCGCCGACTAACGACTGGTAGTGCAGTATTGCAACAGATTGCACGTAAATAGGGCCAAGCCAATCTACAAAACAAGACAATTTATGGTAAATCAATGTATAATCAATTCTATACAGGAGCTTAATTGTTATTGGTAGCTAGCACAACATTTAACATAATATTATATTATTAACTGTAATGGTAATAGTAAGCACAAATAAAACACATAATCAGCTGGCTAACTCGCGCGTGTACGATAGTAGACACGCTGCAACGCGTTGGTATATATATATGTAAATAATAATAGTAATATTATGCCTAATAATTTTATAAAACACATTACACTAGATAACGTAGTATTGCGTTCGTTTGTAAGACAGGCTGAAAACATTGGCAGCTGCAGTGTCCATCATATGCATACACATAGGGTCCTACGCTGAATAATTATGAAATGTTAATAATAATTATGAAATATTATGTTTAAATTTTGGGCATTTCAGGTGGCTGAATTACAACAAAGTATGATTTTGCCATTTAAAAGTGAAGCAAAGATAGATTTGTTGTCAGCGAAAATACGTACAGGCGAATGTTTACACTTTTCATCGCTGCCATATAAGTTACTGCGTTACCGCACAGAGGCCTGTGGGAGACTTTTGGAGACCTGTATTGTCATATGCATGGTTATCTTTCGCTATCTATCGCACAACAGGGAATGAATAAATCCTCGTTCTTACCCCAATTATTATCGAAATTAATCGAGCACACCGTTTTCGTAGCAGCAAACTAATACCTTAGTTTATTTACATTACAGTAGGCCTGACGACATTCACAGCTTTGTGCAGTAACGAACAGTTGTGCTGTTATTATTGATTCCTAAGTTTTATAACATTGTATGTATAATTGTACAAATGTCAGATGAGTACATTTCGTGACTCGGGTTGGCATTAATAGAGCACGTGAGAATCCACGTGTTAGTTTTTTTCAAGTGAACGAATATTGTTATAATAGCAATCTCGGCAATTTGAATAGCTAACACCAGGTACCTGGCGGTTTTACTTCGTGTGGATGGTGGAGCATATTACAGATAATCGGATAACGCCTACTATCAGGAAATACGTAGCAAGTCATCAATGTCACTTGATGCCTACGGAGACGGTTTCATTGTATATGCCTTTCCCCAGTCTCGAATTTATAAGCATATGCGACACCGCATATCGTGCAGATTGCGGACTCTCGTGATTGGACTGCGGGCTGGCTGACGTTGTCCGCCGGAGAATATCATTACAGTGAGTCCATACAATCCAATCTCACCACAGAGATGAAAATTGCTCTCCAGTTTGTTATATGGCGGCGCAATTTAAAAGAATTTAAAATCAAAAGCCAGTGGTCACGTGATTTCTGTGGTGACAATGCATACAATCAGAGCACGTATATCATATATATATATATATATATATATATATATATATGATATCAGGGGTTAATAATGAAAAATTGTTATTTTGTCAAATTTTGACAATTTGTCATGATTAACCCCTGATGATATACGTGCTCTG